TGGTTTCTGTTTGTGTTTATTTGTTTTGTTATTGTTGTTGTTAATTTTGTTTTTGCTTTATCATTTTTTCTGTCTCTTTATTTGTTTTGATTATTTCTATCTTTGTTTATTTCTGTTTTGTTTATTTTGCTTTTGTTTATTTATGTTTTTGTTTATTTATGTTCTTGTTTCTTTTGTTTTTGTTTATTCCTATATTTGTATGTTTTATTTATTTCTTCGTTCATTTTCTTTCTTTTATTTCTGTTTTTGTGTATTTCTGTTTATGTTTGTTTGTTTGTTTATGAAATTTGCTGTTGTATTGTTTACTTGTCATGGGCGGACAAAGGCGCATTGCAGTATATTTTTGCTTATTTTTTGTTTTCCTTGTTTGGTTTATTTTCATTTGTTTATCCGCTTGTTTCCTTAATTGTTTTGTTGATTCGCTGATTTTTATTTTCTTTTATTTGTTTGCTTTTGTTTATCTGTTCTGTGTTTGTTTATCTGTTCATTCATTTGTGTATCTATTCATCTATCTTTCTCTCTATTTATTCATCTCTTTTTCCCCATTCACTTATAAGGGAGAGGGTATCTTTTCATGTGTTTATTTATCTATTTAAACATCTACTATCTATTATCTTTTATTATCTATCTATGTAGGGGTTGACAGACTTTTTTTCTGTTGTTTTATACGTTGATCCAAAGATTTTTTTTCTTTCTTTTTTCATTTTTATGTTGTATGGTAATATAATGATTTTGCTTTCAGTGATGTTTTATTTTTTTCCCTCTCTCTGCGTAAGATTGTGTTTGTTTATATTTGCAGTTGTTTACGATAAATCAAATCGACCTTGTCTAATATATCTTTTTTTTTCTTTTTTTTTTCTCTCTCTCTTTATCGTGACCTGCTCTATATTTCCTTCCGTTCATCGTTTCTCCCTCTTTTCTCTTATTCCCGCCTTCCTCTCTACCTCATTTTTCCTCCTTTCTGTCCTCTTTTCATCCCTTTTCCTTTCTCCCTTTACCTAAACCCTTCTTCCTTGCTTCTCTTCTTCTCGTTTCATATCTCCCCTTCATCTCTCCCCCCCCCCCCACTTTTCCCCTCACTTACTCATCCTCTCCCCTCAATCCCCTCCCCTCCTCCCCCCTCCCCCTCACGTTTCCTCTGTCCTTATTTCCCATTTCTTTAACCCTCTTTCTCCTTTACCTTTTTCTCTTTACTTCTCTCCTCCTCCTGTCTATTCATTCTCCCTTTCCCATTTTCCTTCACCCTCTTCCCTCGCCTCTTCTCCTCTTTATCTTCTTCGCTAACCCCTTCCTTTATCCATACCCCCCCCCCCTTCCTCTCATCTCTTATTTCCTGCCCCCCCCTTTCCTCTTCCCCCCTTCTATTATTCCCCTCCTTCCTTCCCCTTCCCCTTCTCCCCTCTTTCCCCTACTTCTCTTTCCCCTTCCTTCCTCTCATTCTCTCTCCCCCCCTACCCCCATCCCCCCCTCCTTCCTTTCATCCCCTCTCCCCCCCCTACCCCCCATTCCCCCCTCCTACCTCTCATCCCCTCTCCCCCCCTACCCCCCATTCCCCCCCTCCTACCTCTCATCCTCTCTCCCCCCCTACCCCCCATTCCCCCCTCCTACCTCTCATCCCCTCTCCCCCCTCCCCCCCATTTCCCCCCCACCTTCCTTTCATCACCTCTCCCCCCCTACCCCCCTCTCACCCCCCCTCCTTCCTCTCATCCCCTCTACCCCCCTACCCCCATCCCCCCCTCCTACCTCTCATCCCCTCTACCCCCCTACTCCCCATCCCCCCCCCTCCTTCCTCTCATCCCCCCCCCCCCCCCAACAGAAAAATTACCGAAAGGCGCCCGCTGTGACTTCGAAGACGGTTGGTGTGGATGGGACAATAAACTGAACACGGATGACACGGACTTCAAGAGACATCGCGGGCCCACGGAGAAGGAACACACGGCCCCGAGCTTCGACCACACCACCAAGAACCAGTCGGGTGAGTGGGGGAGAGGGAGAGAGGGAGAGGGAGAAAGGGAGAGGAGGAGAGGTAGGAGAGTGAGAGGGAGAGGTGGGAGAGGGAGAGGGTGAGAGGGAGAGGGAGAGGAGGAGAGGAGGAGAGGGAGAGATAGAAGGGGGGGAGGGAGAGGGAGAGGGAGAGGTGGGAGAGGGAGAGGGAGAAAGAAAAGGAGGAGAGGGAGAGGGGGAGAGGGAGAAAGGGAGAGGGAGAGGGAGAGGGAGAGGGAGAGGTGGGAGAGGGAGAGGGAGAAAGAAAAGGAGGAGAGGGAGAGGGAGAGGTGGGAGAGGGAGAAGGAGAGGGGGAGGAGGAGAGGGAGAGGGAGAGGTGGGAGAGGGAGAGGGAGAGGTGGGAGAGGGAGAGGGAGAAAGAAAAGGAGGAGAGGGAGAGAGGGAGAGGGAGAAAGGGAGAGGGAGAGGAGGAGAGGGAGAGATAGAAGGGAGAGAGGGAGAGAGAGAGAGGGAGAGGTGGGAGAGGGAGAGGGAGAGGGAGAAAGAAAAGGAGGAG